GAGAAAAAGCAGGTATTCAAAATCAAAGAATGATGTTTGCTGTAACAGCTGACTATGGATTTCTATGAAAAAGAAGTAATCGGCGAAATGATAGCTATCGTAATGCATTACTAGGTATCGTAATGGCTAGTAACAAGATTAGAATTAAAAGATTCTAGTAATCTCTCTGAAATTTTTGAATTTTCTCAACAACGTCAACCGATGCACCTTATCATGACGTATACAAACACCTGACTTATCTCCGGCAAAACTGATAGGCGGTCCTGGAACTCAGCGTCTTCCCAATAAAGCTGATCAGATCTTAGCACAAGCGATTGACGTTTTAAAGCTTATTCCCGCTCAGGACGTGACCGAGTGATGAGGAAGGATCCATATCCGACTGTGAGTGCCCAGGTAATCACGGATAATGGCAAGCAGCTACCACCCTTTTTCTCAACTTGGGTGTTATGGTGAAGTTCCAGTCAAGGTTTTACAACTCCATCGCAGTGAAAGGGTTCCGTTGACAAGTGTAGTTTGCTGGTACACTCTTTGAAAGGGATCATGTTCGTCCAATAAGTCAAAAGTGGTTAGTTTCTACCTTCCTTGGTAAAGACTATTTTCGACCAGTAGTAATGTCTTGGCGTTTCACTACCCAAACTGTTTATAACGCGCTCGCGTCTGTCACCAAATTCGATATTATCTGAAGAAACACCTGGAGAGTTTGGATCATGTTCGTAATGGGTTGAGCGTAGGGTAAGTCCAACAGAGCACATGAGAGCCGAGAGGAACTCCGCTCCTAGGGGGCGGGGCTTGTTCCGAAGTTGGGCGATTCCATGGACAAAACTCCCTAATTTGGTCTCACGACAGACGCCGGGAAAAAATGAGCAAAGTTGGAGAAATGAAATATGGAATTGAATTTAAGGGGACTCAACAGCGATCTTCGGAGCGTTCTCGCAGTGACTAGTAGTGGTACTTTCAACAAAAGTTCATGACTCGGTGGAAGGTATGAAGGCGAGAAAAAAGTAAAAGAAGTGAGCAAGGCCTTATGCGTGCTCGGGATCCATAAACTTAGTGAAGCTCCTCGCACGATGGACGGGATGTGCAATGAACTGAAGTATTGAATATAGCTCTGTTTAGAAACGTTTCAGAACACGGCAAAAGGTGGTTAGAATCATAGAAGAAATGATGTCAGATTCCCGAGGTGGGCGGAGTTCGCACTAAGGGGGGGGGGGCTATGATCAAAAATCCATAACTTCATTCAGAAACATTCTAAAGTGGAGGCAAAAGTGGTCAGATGTAGCTCAACGAGGGCGATCGAATCCTCAATGTAGGCGGGGCTTGCACTGAGGTGGAGGCGCTGGGGCTGGGACCAAGAGTTCGGAATTATGTTGAAAAGCCTTCTAGAAGGAATGATAAGTCAAATGGAAGAAGGGTTGTCAAATCAACGTAGTGGAAAAGGTCAAGATCAAAAATTCCCAACAATGTTCAGAAACTTTCTAGAATGCAGAAAAAGTGGTTGGAGGCTGTCGAGGAGATAGGGACAACTCCTCATAGTGGCGAGGGATTCCACTAATATGGCAGCGGATGAGCTCCGGAAAAGAAATTTGAAAGTGTTTTACAATAACCACGACAACATGTCTCCATGCGCTCTGGATACCTGCAGATTTTCCCAAGAATCAAGGGGCCATTCTCTCACGATTACTGATCATTGTTCCATACAATAGCCTCATTTCATGAGCGTACAGCCATTGCATGGACCGTAGAGTCAACCAGGATGAGAACGAAATTCGGAAGACCTATTCAGTAACCCCGACCATACAGCGTAAACTTTTCAGGTGCTAAGGAACCCCTTCAAAAATTCTGACCTAACATCCTTCAAAAACCAGTGTCCATGGTCCTTTTCAGTAACCTCTTCTGCATAGGCCTACAGTCTTTACATGCTCACTGTTCTCAGAAGTAGGAGCTCAATCTCACATTTCGGTGCTGATATGCCATCTGATGATAACGGTTGCTATGCCATCCATTCATCATCCAAAGTTCAGAGAGAGAAACAGTGAATCTCACGATCAGGGCTAGTGGTATCCGCTTACTACCGTTGGTTTAGTCTCAACAGCGCTTCAAAAGAAGGCAGTACCAAACAGTACTGTCTTTCTCTGAAGTGCACAACACCAGACAACACTGCCCAGTAGATCCGATAGTCATTACTTCACTGTGGACTATGCCATAACAACAGCTACCAAACCTTTCCTTGATAGTTCTCCTTACTCAGCAGCTACATTTCATGTCTCTTCAAGGAGGAATAAGTTGACGAGAGTGATGTAGAAGCCGATAAGGACGAGCGGAAAGGGAGCGCATTAGTCAGCATCGAAATGGGCGACAGATGAGCCCAGCAGTGGAGACAAGTTGAATGTTACATCACAGCATATACATACATGAGAATAACCGGACGGCATATTAGAAGGAGAATAAAAAAAGTCTCGCAGCACAACACGCATCCTCAAGCTTGGGGTTGAAAACTTCGAGCAACCACCTAGAACAGTTGTGACTGCCTGTTCGCCCATGATTCACTGCGCCACTGGCGAATCTATTTAGGGGGNGGGGGGGGGGGGGGGGGTTCATATGAGTTTTTAAACAAATTCTCAAATTTAGATATTTCAAACGAGAATAAATCCAGTGTGCAATCCGATCTGATTTGGCGGATGTGAAAACGCCACAAGAAAACTTACAGCCCAGAGCACCTTTACAAAGGCCCTGGGGATTCAGGCGCATACTGCTTACCACTACAGTGTTTCACATGACAGAACGAATTATACGGTCTCTATCTTATCATCGACCTAGTTTTTTGGCCCTTTATTGTGCCCACGAGAACAGCCATTTTGTCAGATTTCCAGTTCCCTCATCGCTATTGCTTCCTGAGAGCTTGGAGCTTCTTTTGCTGCGGAAAATGACAGGATGAATGACCACAGAAATATTAATCATTGTTACAAATAGTAATGACGAAATAAGTCAGAAAGTCACTGGAACAAAACTAAAGAAATCAAAAAATTGAAGGTTTTCATCGGATGGCAAGGCTGCTATCGAACCACTAAGGGTGGTCCAATTTTTGATTTGGGATGGTGATCTTCCTTCGGTGACCTTTCCTATCGTTCCCTGTTCAAAATGTGTCCATAAAAACTTGAGTAGAACGTGGTGATAATGTCCTCGGACCACATCATAGTCTATGTGAGCTGCTTCAAAAGTTTTTCCCGAATGATTCAAAAAAAAAATCAATTAGTATAGATCACTTAGTGGTCCATCAGAAGCCATTGCTTCATCCGCGCTTCCTGTACCATTGAGTAATTCAACACTATGTAGGCATGCGGTTGGGAACACTGCGACATCAAGAGATGTTCGTCTTTGTTAACCACTGCCGAGTTAAGTACCAGCCGGCTATCCCATGAGTTTCGTAGTGTACCAAATCAACTGGAGTTTAAATTTAGTAGTTTTTACAGAACTTCATAATCTTTGTTGATCGTAAGCTCACGATCCATTTTTTGATCCCACTTTTCACCGAGCTCATTTATTGCATCTCTGGCCTTCGGCAAAATGGACATTTCCTTCGAGTTTGGCTGCAACTTTTCCACGGGCTTTATTCATTTCCATTCCTCTGACAGACTCCTTCTCGAATGATTTCTCGATGACTTTAAGATAACAAAAACGACGCACTATACCACACCATTTTAAAGTCCTTTCATTTACATTGCATGTATTCGAGCATTAAGAAGCTCACACAAGGTTGTATCGATCAATTTATTTTATTACGGAACCCTTTCCTTACTTTATCGCCTAACCTGTAACTATTCTGGGGAGGTAATTTCCCACGACTAAAATGTTTTCTTTTAAAGCAGACTTCGAATGATCAAGATGAATTTCAATGAATTTATATACAGGCGGAATAGGGTCCTACTGAGGGTCTCCACTACAAGATTTCGCCTCAATATGCATTCTCCATATGCAAAGTACTACCTTTTCGACATACTAGGCATTGCTAAATGGAGCCGTTTCCAAGCCTGAATGGCACCCTATTCGTCCAAGACATCTCCTGGAAATGATGGCGCACTCGAATAGAAAGTAAAGGATAGACAGAAAGCATCTCCACCGACACGAATTGCAAATATTCAGTGAATTCTGAATCGACATTTATTTCCATACTCTTAAATATTTTCAAATAGAGGCTTGCTAGTAATCTAAGGTAATTTTGGAGGTGGATAGGTAGTTTTCGCTGAATTTCGGGTGACCCCACTTGCACAAATCATTCTGCATCTGCATTAATGACATCACTTAGTGAAAGATGGCTATAGTGAAAGCTTTGTTCATCACTGACTGATACAAAATGATAATTTTATAAACTCGATCTTTAAACATTCCTACAACAATATTACACCTGTACAACCTCTAAGACTAAGCATGAAACACCGAGAAGGAAAGGAGAAACTACTCATACACATCCTCCCGTTCACAAATATATTTGAATACGTCGCGAGGACTCTTCAGTTTTTCTGAATCTTCGAGAGGAATTTCGAAACCGAACTCATCCTCTACCGCCATCATGATTTCCACCTGAACAATCGAATTTGTATCGGTTAGATGGATTAAGAATTGCACCCTTCAACTGCTATTTGTATTACTACTATAGGCAATCAACTAACTTGATCGAGGGAATCGAAACCCAAGTCCTTGGTGAACTCCGCCTCAAGCTTCAGAAGCGCTTCTTTGTCGGCCGGGAACCTATCCCATGCACGTATAGCTTTCAGCACACGGGATTCCACCTGAAAAGACGTTGATGGTGATGGATTTTAAGCTGTAAACGTAGCCCATCATTTTTCTTCACAGACTACAGAATAATCTCGAATTAGTTTTCTGAGAAACCTTATGTCGAATCGATGGTGGATTGCATACTGAGCAATCCATTGTACAACTGGGGCAATTCTCTGATTACACCATGCATGCAACGAAAATCAAACCAATATGAAGACAAGAATTCTCAGACCACAATTTACTTAACCGAACTCGGCTTAAGATCGCAATCGATCGATATATTCAGATAGCCCCAACGAAAATTTTCTATAACCGGCTCAGGTGGCAAATCTGACGACAAGTTAATAGAACAATAAGTAGCAGAGCTTTGACTCGATGTTTTGTTAACTGCTATTATTTGGCCTCAGTAAACGGTACGAAAAGAAAGTTTTGGCATTCGGACCGGCAAAAGTTACGAAAAAATGTGATGTTGGTGATGACAAAATGGAAACAACGAAAGAGACGGGAAACTTTTTTCGACAATGGGAAGGATTCTAGAAGCACTGCAAAAATACTTAAGCCTTTCGAAAGAATCTGAGATCTATCCTTGCTCTTTCACATCTTTACGAACATACTTACGAGGTTATTGGAACAATAAGGCAACTGTAAGGCTTAATATTAATAAATATCATATTACAAAACTCATCATGAGATTACCCACATAGTAAACATTTCTAAAACGAGCAGAACTAGCAAAAAAATTAAAGAAAAAACGAAAAACTGCTTTTGCTGCAAATCAACTGCCCTCGTAATAACTTGGATTTGGTAACTAATCAGACGTTTACTTACACGATAGCCCGACTTGATGAAGTAAATGCTTGATTTGTAAATTGAACCATAAATTAAGTTACCTCTTTGAAAGTCAGCGGTTTTGGCGGATCGAACGGACCGAATACCTGGACTTGACTGCATCTTAAAGAAAATCTCATAAAACCGTACGTCTCCAAAACTGCTGCGTGAAGTTCTAGGTTAGATCTACCCATGAGCAAATGATTAATAACAGTCTCCATCAATGACGTATCTTTGCGAATAAAATTTTTTATAATGTGAGAAGCAAAAGAAAACAAGTAACCAAATGTATACCTATCAATAACAGCTATGAGCACTTATTTCAAGGGTTGGTCTTCATTAAAGAATTGACAGATCAATACATTTTTCAGGAACTTATGCATACGAGGACGGGGGCTCGGATAACAACCTAATCAGCTTTGGAGGCTATGTTAAATGGAGGAGTAAATATTGAATACACAAGCAAAGTGGGTTTTTTTGAAGTCAGAACCTTTCAGAACCAGACTATCTGTTAAAATTACTTTTAAACTAGTTCCTGCCCAGAAATCTTAGACAACAACAGACTGGTCGTCAAGTCAAAAACGAAACTCTCGTGGTTCGCTCTCAGCCTCACTTCGGCAGCTCATCCAACTTTTACAACTATAATCTAGGCATTTACTTTACTAAGGCACAAAAAAATGATGAAATTGTTTAAGAGGGCCAAGTGAACGGAACATAGAAAAAACATCGTTCTTTTTAGGCCTGCAACACTTTTACTATCAGCCCACGAAAAGTCAAAGACTGGCCCTTCCGTATTTCTTCACAACGGAAATTAGCTCTAACCGGGAAAAGTGACTCTTCCCAGAACTTACTCAGTTCGCCCAATCATGCTCATCTAAAATGCACACAAAATTCAGAAAAACGGGGAGATTCAATGCCTCAAAGATAACCTGCCACATAATTGCAGCGCTACTTCCCTCTGAATGTGGAGACTACTAAATGTCGTTTGTTTTGAATCGCGTAAATCACAATACTTGTAGATTTCCAGTGCTCTGTCATACGCAATGCAATTTCATGTGCAAAAGTCAGTAATCACCGACCGTTTTTGATTCAGAAGGCCATGAGAGGGTGCGGCAAGACGTCCCAATGATGAGGTTGGAATTGTGGTGGTGAAAGATGCCAAACACCGGCGCCCAGCAACTATGCAAGATGCCATCCGAAATGTTGAACGGCCGAACATCTGCAAAATCAGCGTTACCATCAAATTTCGACCTGTTCCGCCAACAAATAGCGCTATACCACATACGATTAAAAGCTAGGACCGGTATTTTTGGTGTTAATTAAAGTAAATTTTCAATTCCATTTTGTTAACAGTTAGTGTTTTCACGCGGAACGGGAGAACTTTGAACCAAGCTATGATGGATGATTCCTTCCTTCACGTTCCACCAACTAGCGGAGCAAGACCCACGACAGACAGATGAGAATAAGAACAGGAAGAGGGAGAGAGCAGGCCAGCTGACGAGGTTCAGGGACGCAGACATCAGTTGAGCGAGATCGAGAAGGATAAGTAGGATAAAACAAACTTTCAATCAGATGAAATAATTAAAGCAAGAATAACTAATGACAGACATGTTGGGAACTAAGCTTCGAGAAAAAGCCAAACGAACATGAAATAAGTTCGAAATCAAGAGAAAGAGCAGAAAGAGCAGCAGAAAGTATTGATAGACAAAGAGGAAAGATATAGGCAAAAAGAGACAGAATGAAGAAGTAACAAACAGATAATGTCAAGAAGACGCCTTAACACATTTATAGGAGAAGTGGATAAGGAGGGAAAACAACAAATAAGATGATGAGAAAGCTGAGCAACTGGCTAAACATATTTCTTATGGAAAGTTGTATGAAGTAGAAACTAACGTCACTGAAACCTTTGGTATTCAAGGTTAAATAGAAAAAGCTCGCTATTCACTTGAGTAAGCCACGCTGGAGGTCAGCGCGCTACCCTTTTGGAGCGCTTCATGTTACGATTTGTAAATTGGTTTACTTCTCAGTACACCCAGTCCACTTCCTTGATGGCATACCTTTGTTTTAAAGTTTTGCACCATTCAAAGAATAGCTATTTATAATGGAAAATGAATAAACCATATCACACACCCCATGAAGCTTCAGGGGCCTAAACATACAGAATAATACTTTATGCCGCCATATGTCCGTACTGATCGTTATATCCGGACGAAATTCCAAACAAATGATTTGAGGATCAGAGGGTGGCCCTGAAGCTAGCCATTTCCCGTTAGTGTACTAATTCACAGTACAAGCACACCACTATCCTGTTAAGCCCGATCTTCCCTCGCATGAAAAATTGTCCTTTCAGGAATAATACTCACTACATAACACCATAACGTCATAACACTACATGACATCTGGTAATCAATTTTCATTCGTTACCAGCCGCTAAAACGTTCGTCATTTTTCTCAATAAATATTCGTTACCAGTCACTAAAACTGCACGGCATTGTTACATATCACCTGCGTCGAAGCATAATGCTCCTGTATCGGCTTACTACTTGGATTACTGCTAATATTACAGTCTCATTATCATTTGCATGCGAACCTTTCTACAAGACACTAGCTTTTTCTTAGATCCTTGTTAGGTTGTAAGTAGTAGCATCGAGAAAACAAACTAAAAGCATGACCCAAAGTAAGAACAGAATAGAGATCTGCAAGAAATAAGCAGCGAAGAATGATAGGAATAATGTCAGCGGCTATTTCCTACTCGACATTTTCAAACAAAATGTTCCTATGCAGCATATTTGAGCTCATCCAAAATGATAAGACGGTCTCACACTCAACATCAAACAAACGACGGATCTTGCGAATGAAGGAATCCACGATGCACACGCATATAAACACATTAAATTTGCTTTTTCGATCAAAAGAAAAAACCGTTAGAACTAACAAAGTCAAGCATTTTCAGCAATTATTAAGCACGGTTTTGCGAAATACTTCCATGTTAGCTCTTTCGAAACCCTCAGAAGAAACTCGACGGGAAAAGCGGTGGCCCTGAATTACAAAAGGTGGCACCAATGTTTCGTGTGGGAAACAGTACGGTTGCGAATACGAGCAAAATGGAACAGAACCCGAAACTTTAAGCTAAGTTAAGATCAATATAAGTATTAATTCACGGGGAAAACTCCATTTAAAATCGCCAACACATCCTAGTACTGAATAGTACATTGCAGATTTGCGGGCTAGCCCCCAATTTTCTGTGTCAGACATTACTCTCGGATGGTCACTGTTAATCAACTGATCTCTATCAAATCCATTACAATTATTTGGTCACTTAGGATGTACTCGAAATCACCTAATCGATAACCATTGGCTAATTCCGCAACTTCCACACACTTAGCCTAATTTTTGCTTGTATTCCTAAACTAGTTAAGCGCTGTAGTATATCTAACAGTGTTTCCAAATCACCTTGAATCAAACCGTTGAAAATGTTTTTCTGTACACTGTTAATCACCTGTAATGACCACACGTATAGGCGACAAGAACGCAGTCTAGAGCAAATTAACAACAAAAAGTATATTAACCATTTATGAACAACAATAACAGCAACAATTTTACTTGTGATGTTTACGTTGGGCAACGATCACGCCCTGGAGGTCCTCTCTCTTCTTCTTAGCACGAAGGTGGGTACCCAAACGCTTTTTCAAGAACTTAAGTGCACGCTTGTCCTTGGAAATACGCAACAATTCAAGAACACGTCTCTCGTATGGAGCAAAGCCAGTGATCTCTCTGACAAGTTCACGTACAACCTGAAGAACAAAAAAGTATCGAATTATGCGATGGAATAATTATCTAAATCATGGAATTCTCCCTCAACTAGTACTGTACCTCAGTAGCAAGGTAGTTTTTAAGCGAAAATACTACAAGCTTATCCTTACCTTCGACTTCTTGCTGCACGCCCCAATGTGACGGCTTTGACGAGGTTTGCGGTCGATCTTGGTGACTTTGTGACCTTTGTTCAGGCCTACAGCCAAACCCTCAATCCCGGGTTGAGACATTTCTGTAAGAGTTAATTTCACAACATCCACTCTCCCCTCAACTATCAACAAGCTAAACCAAATGCACAATTCCATTTAGTGTACTATAGATAAGTAGGTTCTAACCTAGCGTACAACAACTCTTCAAAGCATCACAACAGCTTTATACATCACTTGAGCAAAGAAGCCTTGTTAAACCTAACAAATGGCACTACCCATATAGCAATATGTACAATATTTACAATTTATATGGACCAGCCACTACAGTATATACAACTCTATTAATTAACGAATCGTCGGTTGCTGAACAACCATTCCTGAGAATATATTTACAAAACTATCTGTGACTAAACGAGACGGCGTAAAAATACTTATTACAGGAGTATGTCTTCTCAAGTCCTTCGGTCTTTCCCATGAAGCCTAAAATACGGATAGAAATAAATATACTGCGAAATCTTACTCTCATGAACTTACCTTATAAGAACTGATAATTAGTAAAGGAAAGAATGTTCCGAATACGCTTCCATTGAGCAAGAAATTGTTACTCAATGTAGAAACAAAGGTGAGAGGAGCACCAAAACCAATAAAATAAGGCAGATACGATTCCAAGCGCTCAATACGCTTATGAAGTAGTACACTGCGAGATGACCAGAAATACTCAAAGCTGAAATGAGAGCCTATATAGACAGCTGCAGCAGTGTAACAGATAGAATGGCTCTACTAAGAAAATGTTTCCATATCACCCATCACATGGTTTAAGTGATTATAAAACTGAGATCCCGATAATGATATAACAAGTGATAAACAAAAAAGAAACTTGGGAGATACCTGTACATCGAATTCAGAAGAGATAAGTGAATGAAAGATATAATAGAGCACAAAAAACTTGGTAGCGGAAGGTATGACACGAGCAGGCCCTGTGCAAGAAAAACACATCCAAGCAGCAGTGATACAAGAAGATCCGATAAAGCCGTGCTGAAAACAAGCTTAATCGATTCTGGACCTTCCAAGTCCCAATTGTGATAAGCGAAAAGTCAATTTAAGAAGCCTTCAAAGGGAGCCTTCAACTTCTTCAATCAAGCTTACCTGAATTCAACACTTGGAGGAGGATCCAAGTTTAGTGTGCGCAAGCATGCTCCAGCAATATCAGAAAACCATAAAGCAAGTACAATGCGAGTAAACAAAAAGATTGGGAGAACGATCAGGTGTGATAGAATAGTGATGGGACCAGCCGATACGTCACTAACGGATGAGCACAACCTCAGGATCGTCCAAACTAGTAACCATATTCCTGCATTGGTAACAACACATTGGAACACTCTGAAAAGTTAATTTTTATCGAACATATGCTCCATCGCCACTTCAAATAGAAGATGAGGTGGGGGAGGTTCTCTTTCACTTACAGAAATTTACTTTTGTTTGTAAATCAAGTCGCATTTTGGAAAGGTGTTTCCATCCTTCGAGAGGACTGGAAAGCTACACAAAAGCGAGCGGAACTGAGACAGTGCCTCATGGCGGCCCACGCGTACGTACAATGTTCAAGCGCCATTTGAATCCCAAATGGGACTCAAACGTGTTTTATAAGATGGTCCCAAAATTCACAGAAAGCAGTCATCATAGCACTTAGAATGGTGACGCCAAAGATGAAAACGCTTGGTTTGCGCCGTTTTGAAAAGCGACAATAACGTGCACCACGCACGGGTTTTCGACGAGCGTGACCGCTGCGTTTACCTAGCTTATATTTTCATTGTTTCTTCATAACAGGATGAAATTCCCACTACAAAAGCCTTGCTTCACTAATGAAAGGTTAGGTCTTGTGAACAAAAAAAAAGTTGATTAACGCGCTCGTTTCCATACAGAACAGACTCCGAAGTGTGTTTTCAAGAACTGCTTTGCTCTACACTCCTCAAGAATCTTTTCTCGATAAATATGAAGTGCTGTAGCAGTAGTATGGATGATACTAACTTGAATCACAACTTAGACAAATACTTATTGATCATTGAATAAACGAACCGCTTCCAAACACGCTCCCTACGTCGATAAATCCGCTCAGCAGGACGTGGCACAGTGCCCCGGAGCTCTCGTCTCTGCTGTAACAAAAGTAAAAAATTAGCTATGCACGACAACAGCATTAGATAAAGCTAAGATAATGTGTTTTAAAGGATTCATCAAATGTGAGAGAACTGATTTACAGAGATGATCTGCAATAAAACATAAATTTAAACCACTTTTTGATAACCCAACCACCTAGTAGTCGGAATTTGACCGTGGTCATACCGAATTGGAATCACACTTTTAATAACCTTTACTTTCACACTGTATATTCCTTCCACTATCTATCCCAACAAAAATACTGACTAACAGGGAACGCTCGAGCCCCTTTTCGTAAACATATGGAAATAAGTATACCTACCTGCATAACTGTCCTAGGGGCCGTGCGAGGCGCACTGTTAACAACAACATACTCTTCGTCCTTATCCAGCTGCCACACAAACTAAATAGACTAACGCAAAATACCGACAGTGAAAGCTTTGTAATCAAGAAAACATCTTCTGTTATAAAGGTTGCTGTAAGGAAAACAAGAGGATTAACCTGGAAAAATGTGAAGCGACCTACTCACCGCTAATCCTCTAAAAGCATCGAGACAACCTCTCACCAGTTCACAGCACACGTTCCATAAAATATGCGACATTTCATCAAAACATCTGAAAAATACTACTAAAGTCACAACAAAACATGAAATCCAAGACCTCAAGCAAATTAAAGCCCCGCCCATCGAATAAAGGAAGGTATTATAAGGTAAATATTAAAAATACTAGAAGAAAAAACGGAAGAATCCCAAAATTTTTAATGGGATATTAAATAGTGGAAAGAGAAAATCCTACTGTAGCACTGGGCAAAAAAAACTCATGACTGCGCGTCGACTATGTAAACGTTGTGATAGGCAGTTTCCTACGTTGGACAACGTCCTATAATAGCGGCCGGCCTTCCTCCCAAAACTCGATTTCATTAATCTTTAATACGTTTTAATTCAGTTTATTATTTTGGTGGATTTGGTTTCATTTATCGTTATGCTCGATTGCTGTTAAGAAAGTTACCGAGAGGTGTATCCTGATGTGTGTTTGTTTCGTGCTTGTTAAAGTCGTCTTAAATATAACTTTTAAACTGCTTAGCTCTTTTAGTCTTGGATAATGGCTCCCGCGCGTAAGGGAAAGGCTAAAGAGGAACAGCCTGTGGTCACTCTTGGACCTCAGGCTAAAGAAGGCGAGCTTGTATTTGGTGTTGCTCACATCTATGCGTCTTTTAACGACACCTTCGTCCATGTGACGGATATATCTGGTACGACTCTTTAATAATTTTCCCACTAGTTGCTTCCATTGATTAATTTCCCGATTTGCAGGACGTGAAACTATTGTTCGAGTGACTGGTGGTATGAAGGTAAAAGCGGATCGAGATGAATCGTCTCCGTATGCGGCTATGCTTGCAGCTCAAGACGTTGCTGAGAGGTGCAAGCAGGTGAGCGGNTTCATATCACCTTCTGCGCGGTAGTTTGAGAAGAATTTTGGGGTGCTTGCTCAAGTGGCTGTGTATCAGTTCTCCACATTTTACTGTGAGCAGGTTTCATTTGTAAAAAGGGAAAGGAATGCACAGTCTCAAAGCAGTTGAGCTTCAAATGATTGTTCAAAATGTTCACGACAATATCTGCAGTGACGTTAGCACAGGCAGCTGTGAAAATGTCATACGTTACTGTTTGACGTGGGACTGGGTATTTTTTGGCTGGAGAGCGATGCTCATGGCATTTCCTTTCTTATCATCCGCTCACTAGCCTTTGTCTAAAGCCGCTTTTGGAAGGCCTACCAGGTATTGTACGTATTCATAAGCCTTGTCCTGGTCCGTCGAGCAAATTTTTTCTGTTTTATGCTATTCCAATAGGAACCAAACACTATTCACTGATGATGACCCAAGCTTCAGAAAACTAGAAAATTTCAAAAAATTCGAAAAGCTTCAGAAAAGGAATGCGTAGAGAAGGAAAGAGGGGGAGCGCAAAGACAGTGTTTTGTCCTGTTCTTGTTTTTTGATTCCCGTCCCTTAGTCTTGTGAAGTCTAGACATTTTTATTTAATTCTATTGTTCTTGTCAGCTCAGATATCATGGCGTCCTAGTGTTTCTTTCTGCCGTTGCCGATTAACGAAGCGCTATCACGTTGACAGAACGAGCGAGTCCTTGTTCCGGCTCCTTCGCTTCTTTTTTGGACTTTGTTTCTTGCATTATTTGGTCTAGGTTCCTATCGCCAAATGATTAAGTTTATTATTGATTAGTTTCATTCATATAGAGATGTGTCAGTTCTCATGCCTATAACCCGTAGCTTCATTCGATAAATTAGTTCATCTGTGAACTGTGTTCTATTGGTACAGCACCCTTCACAATATCCGGGATAGACCAGCATAGCTCGTTCTTTTCCAATCGCAGCAACACCAATCAGTACCTCTTCTTCAAACAAACCATCCCGAGTCATGTAGATGATGCTGCTATGATTTCTTTTTTATGTCTGTCGAGTTCTTTTCTGAAGAACTCTTTACAAAACATCTGAATCTAATTTCATTGCATTCCATTTTGAACTCGTCCTGAGACACAGTTGTGTTTTTTCAGTTGGGAATCAATGCCCTTCACATCAAACTTCGAGCCACTGGTGGTACAAAGACCAAGACTCCCGGACCTGGTGCTCAAGCAGCTTTGCGAGCTCTTGCACGTAGTGGAATGAAGATCGGTCGTATTGAAGATGTTACTCCTATTCCTTCCGATCAAACCAGACGAAAGGGAGGACGCAGAGGGCGCCGTCTCTAAATTGTTATTTGTTATCTGAAATACGAAATGAAATGTTTGTGTTTGTTTCCACCTTCACTGTATTAAAATTGTACAAAGCGAGATCAGGGTCATCAGTGATGGAGATGAGATCGGAAATTATGAATACTGTTGAGTGAGATTCATCCATCAACCCTACCGTCTGTCGGAGA